TAATGAGATGCCATTTCACCTCCACTCAAATGGCTATGTAAAAAAGATAAAAAAGAGATAAGTAGTAAAAGATGTTGGTGAAAGTCTAGAGAACTGGGACAGCCACTCTGAAAAACAAGTTGTCTTTGTGTTATCCTTTGTCCAGGTCACTTTCTCTTGACGAACTTACTGCTGGACAAGCTGAAAGCCTCAGCCCCATCACGGATCATAAACCTCTCATCCCTGGCTCATATTGCTGGACATATAGACTTCGATGACTTGAACTGGCAGAAGAGGAAGTATGACACCAAGGCGGCCTACTGCCAGAGCAAGCTGGCTGCGGTGCTTTTCACCAGGGAGCTGAGCCGGCGGCTGCAAGGTGTGCGAGAGTGGCGGGCTCAAACAGCCCTTCTGTGACCCTGGCCACACAGTGGGAGGACAAGCAGTGGCTCTAGAACATAGTCACTCCCTGGGGTGCCCAGTGCAGACTCACTGATCAGTCTTGTAGTGATTTTCCTGTGGGCATCTGTGCTGATCAGGTAACCCTCCCAGCTGACCCTGGACAGGCAGCTAAGCCTTTGGTATTCTAGGTTGGTGCTTCTCACGCTGGTGCTCACAGCTGGGTGGGGGGGCTGCCCCAGCATCTGGCAGGTGGAGCAGGGGATGCAGCCTGCCCTAACCCAGAGCACTAGACACCCCTCACTTGTCGCTCATTGCATCCATAGCGCCCTGGGCATGCTTCTCAGCCATGGTCTGTGACTCTGTGGTGTCTCACCTGGAGCAAGTCCTGCTGGAGCATCTCAGATTCCACCCAGAGCTGTTCATGCAGACCCTTGGGCTGGGGGCAGTGTGGAGCCTGGTAGTCTGGGAGAGCTCTCTCCTGGTAGCCATGTCCAGAGCTGTCTGGCAAGGCGAAACCACTTGACAGGAGGGTCAGGGGAATCCTACATCAGAAACAGCCTGGTCCTGGAGTCCCCAGAGCTGAGCCAGGCTGTGGTGGCCTTCAGGGTAGGGAGGGAGCCTGGCATCTTCATCCTTCTCTTTTCCCCAGGCTCTGGTGTGACTGTCAATGCCCTGCACCCTGGTGTGGCCCGCACAGAGCTGGGCAGGCACACGGGTATGCACAGCTCTGCCTTCTCCAGCTTCACACTTGGTGAGCCCTCATGGTGGGGTCCCCTGTGAGCCTGCACCCTACCCTGTCAGTCTAGCCCTCCTCCCACACTGTGCCTGGAGCTTTGTTCTTGCCCCTGACCTGTGTCTCCTGGGGATGGGGATGGGTTGCCTCCCTGCATGGATCTGGCCTACTGGCTGCAAATACCCCAGAGACAGGCTGGAGTCACCTTGTCCCATAAGTTGTGTCTGAGGGGACAAGTGTGGGATATGCTCAGGGAAACTGTCTTCACTGTAAGCTAGCTGTGCTCCCTGGGAAATTTCATCACCTCTCCCAGCCTTTCCTTACCTGTAGAGTGAGGGCAAACAGGACCCACCTCCCAGCCACTTACGGAAGAGGAGGTGGGACCTTAAAAGGGCAGCAGGTGCTGGCCTGAGCACCGCTAAGTAGCGCTTGTCACTAGCATTTACAACCCTGAGCAACACCTGTGTGATGGGTGCTGGGTGTCAGCTGATGCAGGAACATTCAGAAGCAGAAGTTATTTTAAGGAAAGATGGGTAGGGTGGGGTACAGGGCTGATGCAGACTTTCTGTTTTCCTTGGAAAGGCCAGGAAGGCTTCCTTAGAGAGGCAGCTTTGGGGCTGTTCTGGAGGACTCTGGGTGGTGCCAGAGAAGGGGACTGCAGCTGAGGGAGCCCAGGGCAGAGGGTGAGGTGGGTTTTGCAGGCCCAAAGGCAGCTCTGGTAGTGGTGGTGGCTTCTATGTCCCCTCTGAGCTGGGGACTGATGCTCTGGGTCCTCATTGCAGGGCCCATTTTCTGGCTTCTGGTCAAGACTCCCCAGCTGGCGGCCCAGCCCTGTACCTACCTGGCTGTGGCGGAGGAATTGGAGGGAGTTTCTGGAAAGTACTTCGATGGACTCAAAGAGAAGGCCCCGGCCCCCGAGGCTGAGGATGAGGAAGTAGCCCGGAGGCTGTGGGCTGAAAGTGCCCGCATGGTGGGCTTGGAGATGGCTCATGGGTCCTCTGTGAAGACACAGCCCCTCCCAGGATCACCTGTGGCACAGGTTTGAAAGCCATGTGCGAACTGCGCCCCCCCACCAGCTGCCACACTCACAGCATCCTCTAGAGGGCAGAGTTGGCTTCACTTCCCTGCCAGCTGTGGTGCGCTGGGCTGGAGGTGGATGTGGCATGGGCAGCTGGCACCATGTACCCTGCTGTCCCCCAGGCATGGGAATCTGGATAAGCCAAGGCTAGAGTTGGTACCCTCTGGTTATGGGCAGTGTGAGAGCGCCAGGTGGTTGAGGTGGGGCCCATGGCCTCCTGTGAAGAGTGTGGCCAGGTGTCTGCCAGGCAGGTGGTGTTCCGGGTTCCCTGTGGGCCCCGTCTGCTCTCAGGCCATGGCCTCTCCTGTGGTAAGGTGCTCACAGGAACAACCTCAAGGGGTCACGTGGTGATTGGAGCTGTTGCCTGGCCAGTGGGTGCCACTGAACATTCCCTGCTGGCGAGTGTTAGATGAGCCTTTCCGTGTGCTGGACCCTGGTGACCTTGCAGATAGTCCACACAGACCCTACCTCATTACCGTTGAGTTTGTGCTTCCTAATGGCCTGGAGTGAAGGTCCAGCAGCTGCTGGTGGGACCCAGGAGTGCCTGGGTTGACAACCTTCCTTTCAATCCTATGGTGGCTTACACCACAGACTCTCGGAATCACTCTTAACAGCAACAATAATAAACAAGCAAAAAAATCTAGTTGACTTATAGTTTTTGTTTTTTCTTCTGTGTGTGGGGAAATGCTGGTGAGCTGAACAAAAATAACTCATGGGCTGGGCGCTGTGGCTCACACTGTAATCCCAGCACTCTGGGAGGCTGAAGAGGGAGGCTCCCTTGAGCTCAGGAGTTTTAGACCAGCCTGAGCAAGAGAGACCCCACCTTTACAAAAAATAGAAAAAATTATCTGGATGTTGTGATGGGCACCTGTAGTCTACTTGGGAGGCTAAGGCAGGAAGGTCACTGGAGCACAGGAGTTTGAGGCTGCTGTGAGCTAGGCTGAAGCCTCAGCACTCAAGCCTGGGGGACAGAGTGAGACTTGAAAAAAGAAAAAGCAAAACAAAGCCCAAAGACAACTCATGGATTTATTCCTTTTAGGAAACTAAGGTGTCAATTTTAATATTAGGAGACCAAGCAGAAGTTCAGACTTCAGAGGGGGAAACTGCTGTCACCCCTTTCAAGGGGCAGTAACGGCTGAAGTGTGGGGAACTGACAACATGGTTTTAGGACTGGCAGGGGTTGGGGGAGCCCAGGGAGCTCTCAGTTTGGGTGCAGGGTAGAAGGGGGCAACCAAGAGCTCAGTAATCAAGGTACAAGAAATGTTTCCACTTTTTATTTTGGGATAAGTGTGGAGGCCAGACATGCTGTTCAGTATCCCATGACATCCAGGATGGCTACCCTACTGGAGTGATGGGGTCCTAGCTGGCAGTTGGTGAGTGAGAAGGGGAGTTGCTGCCCATCACCGTGTAAGCGCAGTTTTCTTTCTGTTTCCGGGTCAGAGGGTATGTGTGGGCTGACCTGACTCCAGGAGCAGCTTCCCCCTTGCCCTAGCAATGCCCACTTCCTATGCTGTGCCCTTTGCCACCTTCCCCCTCTGAGTGTGGGTGGGACCTGCACACAGGGCAGAGGCTACGGCCATGGCACCCCATGGTTTTTCGTGACTGGGCTGAAAAACCGACTTCGGTGACACTAGCATTCTCCCTTGCCTGGTTAGCTATGATGAGGCCTGCTAGTATGGGCAAGCTGCCCTGTGGGGGAGCCAGAAAGGAACCAAGACCAGAGTCCAACAACCTGGGAGAAACAGCCCTGCTAGTAGCCACACGAGTCATCTTGCTGTTGGGAGCAAGTTACAGGCTTAGCCCAAGAGCCTGTCCACAGTGTGTGTGTGTGTGTGTGTGTGTGTGTGTGTGTGTGCGTGCATGTGTGTGACACATTTCTTACTGTGGGATCATGGAAAAACAAGTTCGAGAACTACTTGTACCAGGGAGGTTAGCTGAGGATAGCCTCGAAGCCCTGGTTCTCTAAATATTCATGTAGGGTTTACCTGGGCACTTTCTGTGCTTTTTAAATTGTGGTCAGAAATACATAACATGGAATTCATCATCTCAGCCACATCCAGTGTACAGTTCAGCAACTTTAGTCCTTGTGTATAATCATGCAACTGTATCCTCCCACCTCCAGAGTTCTTCATCTTGCAGGACTGGGACTTGATAGCAACCAAACAACCTCACGTGCCTCCTCCAGCCCCTGGCAGCCACCACTCTGCCCCTTGAATCTTGGGAGTTGGTTTCCATCAGAGACCTCCTCTGAGTGGAATCACCTGTCTTTATGTGACTGGATATTTATGTAGCACAGTGTCCTCAAGGGTCATCTGCTCCACACTCTTCTTTATGTCAGTCATTTTAGGGGCTACAAGTTGACTTCCATCATGTGTTCACAGGGCACAGGGCTGAGGTCTGGGTTTTCCCTGTGCATGTCACCTGGATGGTGTCTACTGTTCCCCACAGGTAATTGTCACTCCTCACACCCTTCCACAATCCCTTGTGTTGGGTCCCCAATGTCCATTATGCCACTCTGTGTGGATGCTGTTTTTATTATTTTATATTTTATATTTTATTTATTTATTTATTTTGAGACTGAGTCTCACTATGCCACTATCAGTAGAGTGCGCATGGCGTCACAGCTCACAGCAACCTCAAACTCTTGGGCTTAAGCGATTCTCTTGCCTCAGCTTCCCAAGTAGCTGGGACTAGAGCGCCCCCTACAATGCCTGGCTATTTTTTTGTCGTTGTTGTTGCAGTTGTCATTGTTGTTTTAGCTGGTCCAGGCTGGGTTTGAACCTGCCAACCTCAGTGTATGTGGCTGGTGCCCTACCTACTGAGCTATGGGCACCACCCTGGAAGCTGTTTTTAAATGTGTATATTCTGGATCTCACCTAAGATTCTGGTTCTGTAGGTCTGGGGAGGTGCCCTGGGGTCTGCATTCCTGATTTGCTGTGGCGTAGGGGGAGGTGGGCAGTCTGTCCATGGAACACACTTTGAGAAACACTCCACACACAGCTGGCCTACGCCCCATATGGTGCCTCAGTGTCAAGGCTGCCACATTATCTTGGTTAGTAAACAGTCACTGCTAAGAACTACCACCTGCCGGCCTTGGGACCTAGACCCCAAAGGATTAAGAGTCCGGACCAGACCCTTGTCCTTGGCTCTGTCTGCATCTGCTGTCCTCCCTCTCCTCCCTCTCCTCCCTCTCCTCCCTCTCCTCCCTCTCCTCCCTCCTGTATGTTTTCAACATCCCCCTCTGTGGTAGCAGCAGACCCAAATATGTATTATAGGTGGTGGCGACTAACAGGTCCTGTGTGCAGGGGTGGGATGGGGGAGGTCTGGAACATCCAGACGGAGGCTGGAACGTCCAGTTGCTTGGAGTAGAGAAGGGTTTCTGTTGTCCTCCTGGGTCTGTGTGGGACAAATGGGCAAAGGGAGGTTTTTACTAGAAAGAGGCATTGCTGCTTTTTTTTCTTTCTAGTCAGCAAACCCAAAACAGGAACCTCCGGTCAGCGATGGGTTTTCTAAGATGTGCATTGAGAAAGGATCCTTAAAGAGCAACTGGGGGTGGAGGGTGGTGAGGAATTGGAGGAGGGAAAAATCCTCACTCTAGTGTCACTTTCCCACTACATTTTTTTTTGGAGACAAAGAGTCTTACTCTCTCATCAGGCTAGAGCTCTATGGCATCATTATAGCTCACAATAACCTCAAACTCCTGGGTTCAAGCCATTCTCCTGCCACAGCCTCTGAGTAGCTGGGACTATAGGCCACAATATCTAGTAACACTTAGTTTTTTTCTTTTCTTTTCTTTATTTCTTTTTTTTTGAGACAGAGTCTTACTATGTAGCCCTCAGTAGAGTGCTGGGGTGTTATAGCTCATGGCAACCTCAAACTCTTGGGCTTAAGCAACTCTCTTGCCTCAGCCTCCCAAGTAGCTGGGACTAAAGGCACCCACTACAAGGCCCAGCTATTTTTTTTAATTGTAGTTGTCATTGTTGTTTAGCAGGCCCTGGCTGGGTTCGAACCCGCCAGCCCTGGTGTCTGTGGCTGGTGCCCTAACCACTGAGCTATGGCAGCGAGCCAACACTTAGTTTTTCTATTTTTAGTAGAGATAGGGTCTCACTCTTGCTCTGCCTGGTCTGGAACTTCTGAGCTCAAGCAATCTACCCGCCTCAGCCTCCCAGAGTACTGGGATTACAGGCGTGAGTACTGCACCCGGTCACCTTCCCATCTCTTGGAAGCTTTCCAGACGTAGCAGTTATGCCTCCTCAGAGGGCCCTACCCTCATTCACATCAAGGGAAGTCCCAGGAGATATTATAGAAGCCGGCGGAGCCTTCCTGTCTTCACATGCTGTTGTAGCAGAGTCAGCTCTGCTTCTAGCTGCACAGTACATGGCTTCCCTTTGAGATCCTGCCTGGGTGACATGGTGGCAGGCTGTCTCCTGAGTTGCTTATAAGGCAGCGGTTCTCAACTTGTGACCCCTTTGTAACAATGAAAATACATCGTGGCATTAGGAAGGTTGAGAACTACTGTTAAGGGAACCTGGAGCGTAAAGTCTCACCAGGAGATGATTCCAAGTGGCGGCTGGTAAATCATGTTCTGGGGGTGTGATATATGTGAGGATTTCTCCAAGTGACACCCTTAGGCTGAGCACTTCTGTCACTGTGAGATATTCTCCTTCTCAGGGATGAACAAAAGGGACCCAGCAGCTTCTCCTGAAGCCTTGCTGACTCGGAGCTGCCTGGCCTTCTTGCTCTTTCCCAAAAGTTGCTCTTTTGGGAAAAAGGTAGTCATTTTCTTCCCAAATGTCAGCATTTGTGAGCTTCCTTCATGTAAACCACCATGTCATTCTCTGTGCAGCCTCCCGCTGGGGTGAACAATGCCTTTGCTGCTGCAGCTGATCCCTGTGTGTCTGTGAGAAAGCGACTGGTCATGCTGCTTTCCCATTGGTCTTTACATGTGGCCTGGGACCCCACCACTGAAGCCGGGCAGTGTGTTCATTGTCTAGGTTTTTAAAAAGTAAACACAGTTTCGTTGCCAGAAATATATAAATGAAACACAAAACAAACAAAACACAAAACTAAATTTGACAACCCAAATTGTGCCCAGACATTGCTGAATGTCCCTGGTGGGGTCTGGGGTGGGGGCAAAATCCCCCTTGGCTGAGAAGCGGTCACTTTTCACTCCAAATTCGGTTTTCTTGGTTCGGTGTGATGCACCTCAAAAGACACACTGAGTGTGGCACTGGACTGGCTCTGTGTGTCTCCTGAGCTCCCTTGTCTTTGTCGGACTCTGACAATGATTTGAGACTTATGCAAAGGTCAGTCTGGTTGGAGGGGGCTGGGAGGTGTGGTGGTGGGGGAACTTGTTCCCTTTCTTTGAGGAAGGCCAATGACATGATGTGTGATAAGGAACCCTGGGGCCCTGGGCCACTTCTGTGTCTGCTTTGTCACTGGGCTCTGAGCTCTGGGCTCTGGACAAGGTGGCACCATGCTCTGTGTCCTGACCTCCCTACTCTGCCTTGGTGAGTGCTGAGGTGTGGGAGAGACTCTGAGCTCTACATGGTTACCAGGGGCATCCCAGGGCAGGTTCCTCCAGCAGGCAAGCCATGCTGGGTTACCCCGCCCTCCTCTGGCTCCTCACGTTGTGCTCAGGGCTATCGTGCTGAGCCTGGGATTATGAGGGAGGCCTTTGCCACCTGGGTTTCTATCTTTCTTTTTCAGGATTGCTTATGGGTCAAAGGAGCTGGGCACAAACCGGTAAGTCCTTTCCTCAAACGCCTCTGGCTTGCCCTCCTCCAAGGAAGTCCTGCCCCTGGCTGATGGCAGGGACCCTAAAATAAGCCCCAGGGCCAGCCCCTTGCCTTGCCGGTGTCACTGTGTAATTGCTTATGAATAGTCAGCCTGGGCCTCCTCGGCCTCAGCTCTGTGGACATTTGGACTCGGTTATTCTCTGGCATGGGGCTTCCTGCTCCTGTGCACGGTGGGGGTTGAGCAGCATCCCTGCCACCGGCCTGCTGGATGCCAGGAGCAGCCCTTTCCTTATATGTGATGAGCAAAAATGTCTCCGGAGGCTGCCAAATGTCCCCTCCTGGGCAGGGTGGGTCGAAATCCACAGCTTCCTCCCTCACCAAGCTCCTGTGCCATCAACCTGGGCTGCTGTCCCCAGCTATCCCGTGCCCATCTTCTGGGGAAGCTGCTTCCCCAGGAGCTGCCCCATGCAGCCTCGGGGCCCTTGCTCCAGAGATGATGAAGAAGAAACTTGGTTCTGCCATGTGATCTTGGCCAAATCAATGCCCCAAGATAGTCAGTTGCAATATGGCTAGCAGCCAGAATTCTAATGTTTTTTCTTTTTCCTTCTTTTTTCTTTCTCTCCTCTCCTCTCCTCTCCTTCCCTTTCTGAGACATAGTCTCACTCTGTCCTCCTGGGTACAGTGCCATGGCATTATATAGCTCACAGCAATTTGAAACTCTTGGGCTCAAGTGATCCTCTTGTCCTAGCCTCCCGAGTAGCTGGGACTATAGGCAGTCAGCCTGCCTGGCTACTTTTTCTATTTTTAGTAGAGGCAGGGTCTCACTTTTGGTCAGGTTGGCCTCGAACTCCTGAGCTCAAGGGATCTACCAGCCTTGGTTTCCCAGAGTGGTAGGATTATAGGCGTGAGCCACTGAACCCAAGGGCATTTAACTTTTAAAAAACAGTAAGTGAGATTTGAATTTTAATGTTGCGAAAAATATGAGCATAAAATGAACATTAAAGTTATTATTATTATTTAATTGAGACATAATTATACATATTTTGGGGGTATATGTGATATTTCAGTACATGTACACAATGTGTAATGATCAAATCAACATAATGAACAATTTTTTTTGTGCTGGGGGCAGTGTTCAGAGTTGCCCTGCTGTGCAATAGATCTGTAGCACTTATTCCTCCTCCTATCTAGTTGAAGTGTTGTACTCAATACCTTTTTTTTTTTTTTTTTTGCAGTTTTTGGCTGGGGCTGGGTTTGAACCCACCATCTCCGGCATATGGGGCCGGCACCCTACCCCTTTGAGCCATAGGTGCCTCTCCTCAATAACTTTTTTTTGAGATAGGGTCTTGCAGTGTTGCCCAGGCTGCACTCAAACTCTTGAGCTTAAATGATCCTCCTGCCCCAGCCTCCAAGTAGCAAAGACTGCATGCTCACTTCCCACACCCTACCCTGTCATTCATTCCCTTTGAACAACAACATCATACGCCTGATGTGTAGAGGGGTGATGAAGGCACACAATCAGGGTGTCCACGGAGGTGTTGATGGAGGAAGATGCATCTTTGCAATCACATGAATGAGGTGAGGGAGTAGGTCACACTGACACCATTGGAAGAATGTCACCGATAGGGACAGGAGATGATGCCTGAACTGTCTGAGAAATAGCATAGGGCCAGGATGGCTGGAGTAATTAATGTAAACAGAGTGGCAGGTGGGAGATGTCCTCAGGATAGGGCATGAGTTGCCGGACCCTGAAGTTTGAATGAGAAAGGAAGCCACTATAGGGTTTTAAGGAGTGGAGACATGAATCTGATTTATGAGACAGAGGAGTCACTGAGTTACTGGTTGGAGGGTAGACTTGGTGGAGGAAGGCACGGTAGAGGAAGAGGAACCCATCAGGAGGTGACTGCAATAGTCTGGGAGGAAGAGGGTGGTGGTTTCTGTCTGGCAGATTCGAGGAGGTAGAGAAACATTTGGGTTCTGGGTAGATTTTGTGGGTTTTTTCTTTTTGAGACAGAGTCTCACTCTATTGCCCTGAGTAGAGTGCTCCGAAGTCATAGCTCACAGCAACTTCAAACTTTAGGGCCTCAAGTGATCCTCTTGCCTCAGCCTCCTGAGTAACTGGGACTATAGGAGCCTGCCACAATGCCTGGCTAGTTTTTCTGTTTTTAGTAGAGACGGGGTCTTGCTCTTGCTCAGTCTGGTTTCGAACTCCTGAGCTCAAGTGATTCAGCCATCTCAGCTTCCCAGAGTGTCTGGATTATAGGTATGAGCCCCTCCCTGCACCCAGCCATCTGGGTAGATTTTGAATGTGGTGCTGACTGGTTTTGCAGCTGAACTGGACGTGGTGTTTGAAAGCAAATGAGGCATTAGGATGACCCCAAAGTTCTTAGCTTGCAGTTGGAAGGATGGAATTCTCAATAATTGGTGGAGGGCATCTGCATGAAGAGCAGTTTTATATATATTTTTTAAGTTTGTATTTGTATCATATGCTTACTGCACAAGAATTTTCCATAGACTCTGACAGCTCTTAAGTACAAGTTGGTGGTGGTTTTGTTGTTTTTTTGCACTCTTTAAAAAAAATTTAAAAGCTGACAAAAATCATATATATTGATGGTGTACAGTATAATGTTTTTTTTTTTTTTTTGGCCGGGGCTGGGTTTGAACCCACCACCTCCAGCATACGGGGGCAGCGCCCTACCCTTTTGAGCCACAGGTGCCACACCTGTGTACAGCATAATGTCTGGACACATCAGGTGGCTCTGTTGTGGAATTAACATGTGCATTGCCTCCTGTACTTATTTTGATGTGGAGAGAACACTTAAAATCTCCCCTCCTAGAGACTTTCAAATACACAATCCACTGTTACTAACCATAGTCACCATGTTGTACAACACATCTCTTGTCAAACTGAAATTTTTTACCCTTTGACTAATATTTCCCCAATCCATCCCACCTTACTTTGGTCCATCCTCAGCCTCTGATAACCGTCATTCTGCTCTGTTTCTATGATTTTGACTTTTTAGATTCCATATGTAAGTGAAATCATGAGGTATTTACCTGCCTGTGCCAGGCTTTGTTCACTTAACATTAATGCCCTCTGGGGTCATCTTTGTGGTTGCAAATGATAGAATTTCCTTTCTTTTAGAGGCTGAGTAGTGTTCCATGGTTACTTTATCCATTCAGCCATCTGCAAGCACTTACGTCGGCCTGTATCTCAGCTATTGTGAAAAAATGCTGCAATGACTGTGGGAGCGCAGACATCTCTGTGCCACACCGACATCATTCCTTCTGCATACATTTCCACAAGGGAGGTTGTGGGATCATGTGGTGGTTCTTTTTTCAATTTTCTAAGCAATTGCCGTTTTCCATGATGACTGCACTGATTTACATTCTGCCAACAGGGTGCAGGGCTCCCTTGTCTCCGCGTTTTTGCCAACACTTACCTTTTAACCTTTTTGACATCAGCCATTCTCATACATGTGAAGTGAAGTAGGAGCAGGTACCTGAAGGGAACACTAGGAGCTTAGCATTAGACCTGGTGGGTGTGAAACGGCTTTTTAACATCTAGGTGGAACTCTTGGGTAGTTGGTTAGTTTTATGAACCTTGAGCTCAGGATAGTTACAAAACAGGCTTGATCTCACATAATATAATCATGAACATGTACCACACATGTCCCATCACTTTCGTGTATTCCTCCCCCCTCTTTTCTTTTTGTGACAGTCTCACTCTATTACCCTGAGTAGAGTGCCCTGGGGTCATAGCTCACAGCAACCTCAAACTCCTGGGCTCAAGTGATCCTCTTATTTCAGCCTCCTGAGGTCAGAGTAGCTGGGACTACAGGTGCCTAGTATTCCCAGCTAGTTTTTCTATTTTTAATAGAGGTGGGGTCCTTTGCTCAGGCTGGTCATGAGCTCCTGAGCTCAAGCAATCCGACTGTCTCAGCCTCCTGGAGTGCTAGGATTACAGGTGAGGGCCACTGTGCCTGGCTCCTACTTCTTTTTTTTTGAGACACAGTCTCACTATGTTGCCCTTAGTAGAGTGCCGTAGCATCACAGCCCACAGCAACCTCTAACTCTTGGGCTTAAGAAATTCTCTTGCCTCAGCCTCCCAAGTAGCTGGGACTACAGGTGCCTGCCACAATGCCTGGCTATTTTTCTGATGCAGTTGTCATTGTTGATGAGTAGGCCCAGGCTGAGTTTGAACCTGCCTGCCTTGGTGCATGGGGCTGGAGCCCTACCCATGGAGCTACGGGCGCTGCTCCTGGCCCCCTACTTTTGTGTAGTCTATTGTTTAGAAGGATGTCCCACATCCTGCCCACTTTCAAAGGGAGGGGGGTTCCACAGGGTGTGACTTCTAGGGAGCCCCCCTAGATAGAGCCTGTTTGCCAGGCCCTAAATGACTTTCCATGCTGCCTGTGTAGCTGGCTGCCTTCCCTGAAGTTTATGACTTTTAGTAAAAGGGGGAGAGGGGACTTCCTGACATCTGAATGCTCAGATTCTAGACTTTCTTTCTCTTTCAGGAACATACCACAAGCCCTCCATCCAGGCACTGCCGGGTCCTGTGATTCTCCAGGGGACTTCTGTGACCATCGTCTGCAAGGGCCCTCCCAGGGTGGCTCGGTACCGTTTGGAACAAGCAGGAAGCTCTCAGGTGTGGTATGAGGAGAACCCGCAGAGGCCCTGGGAAGAGGCCCGGTTCCTCTTCCTATCAGTCACAAGCAGCCATGCAGGGTCTTATACCTGTCAATACGAGAAGTCGAGCTGGTCAGAGCACAGTGATCCCCTGGAGCTGGTGGTCACACGTGAGGCACACCTCCAGGTGGGCCCCCTCAGCCTCAGGCCCTTTCTCAGGTGCAAAATAATACAGGCCACTCCCCCACCCTCTGCCTCCTTTCTTGGGAGGCTGAGGCAAGAGGATCACTTGAGCCCAAGAGTTTGCTGAGTCAAGAGGTTGCTGTGAGCTATGATGCCATGGCCCTCTACCCATGGTGAAAAGAGTGAGACTGTCTCAAAAAACCCCCCAAAAAACAAAGAATATAAAATATCCCAATATAAAAATATTGATTACATGTGAAAGTGATACTACCTTGGATACGTTGGGTTAAATAATATACATTATTTAATTAATTTTAAAATGAATTTCAACTATTTTTTATTGTTTAGGACTTATTGAGGATACAAAGAATTAGGTTACACTGATTGCATTTGTTAGATAAAGTCCCTCTAAACTATTTGTTTTAAGATAGAGTCTTACTTTGTCACCCTATTTAGAATGCCCTGGTGTCACAGCTCACAGCAACCTCAAACTCTTAGGCTCAAGTGATCCTCTTGCCTCAGCCTCTCCAGTAGCTGGGACTACAGGCTCTTGCCATGATTCCTGGCTAATTTTTCTGTTTTTAGTAGAGAGGGGTTTCACTCTTGCTCAGGCTGGTCTCAAACGACCGAGGTCAAGGGATCTACCCATCTCAGCCTCCCAGAGTGCTAGGGTTACAGATGTGAGCCACCATGCCTAGCCTTAAACTTCTGTACTTTCATCTTCCTTTACTGTTTTGAACATAGCTACTAGAAATGAAAAATTACATATGAGGGCTGGGTGTGGTGGCCCACACTTGTAATCCCAGCACTCTGGGAGGCCAAGGCAGGTGGATTGCCTGAGCTCATGAGTTTAAGACCACCCTGAGCAAGAGTGAGACCCCATCTCTAAAAATAGCCAGGCATGGTGGCTGGCGCCTGTGGTCCCAGCTACTTGGGAGGCTGAGGCAAGAGGATCGCTTGAACCCAAGAACTGAAGGTTGCTGTGAGCTATGAGGCCACACCACTCTATTGAGGGTGATAAAGTAAGACTGTCTGGAAAAAAAAAAAGAGGGCAGCGCCTGTGGCTCAGTGAGTAGGGTGCTGATCCCATATATCAAGGGTGGCGGGTTCGAACCCGGCCTGGGCCAAACTCCAACCAAAAATAGCCAGGCGTTGTGGCAGGTAGCCTGTAGGTCCAGCTCAGCTACTTGGGAGGCTGAGGCAAGAGAAGTGCCTAAGCCCCAGAGCTGGAGGTTGCTGTGAGCTGTGGTGCAACCGCACTCTAGCAAGGGCAACAAAGTGAGACTCTATCTCTAAAAAAAAAAAAAAGAAAGAAAGAAAAAAAAGTGAGAAAAAAAAGAAAAATTATATATGAGGCTTGCATAGTTGCAGAGCAGTAGTTCCAGTTGGGGGCAGCTGTTTACACTGGGCAATATCTGTATTGTTGGTTGTCACAGCTGGGGCATGGTGCTACTGTGGGCACCTAAGGGTGGAGGCCAGAGATGCTGCTCAGCAGCCTGCAGTACACAGGACGGGTCTGCACAGCAGAGAGGGACCTGCCCAGTGTCTGCAGCACCAGTGCCAAGGGGGAGACCCCTGCTGCAGAGCCAGGAAAGGGAGCAAACGCCTCTCTTGCACCTGCTCCCCTCCCTAGCTGGGCTGGGGAAATATTGGGTCTGCTTAATCAAGTTCTCTTTTCCCCCAGGTGTCCTCAATGATAAACCTTCGCTCTCTGTCCATCCTCACCCCATAGTGCCTTTAAAAGGAAATGTGACCATTGTCTGTGACTCACGGGTGACTTATGACAAATTTGTTCTGTCCAGAGATGTAGGAACAACTTCCATAGAATATGTTAAACAGAGTCTGGGCAAATTCCTTTTCTCTCCTGTGAGCCGAGCTCATGCAGGCATCTACCACTGCTATGGTTCTTTCAGGAGCTCCCTGTATGAGTGGTCAGCCCCTAGCAACTACCTGGAGCTCATTGTCACAGGTAAGGAGGGCTTAGGCTGGCCCCAAATACCCGCCCTGACTCCCATCCCCATTGTGGTGTGGCTGATGGCCTTGGCCTTATCCCCACGTTGTCCCAGGTGACTATGAGGAGGTGGGTGCAGAAGTAAGGGGTAGGCAGACTCCCCCCACTGTCATGCCCTACTGTGTCCTTTCTCCAATGGGTGTCATCTCTGGGTGGGTGAATTATAGGAAAGGAGTGACGGGAGAACATGAACCCATAAACTTCATTCAACAGATACTTTCTGAGTGTCTGTTGGGCAGATTTCTTTTTGGAGTAGCAGTGTAACCAGATAGGGGCTTTCAAATAGATCTCAGGGAAGTGAGGAGGCAGAGATAGGACAAAAAAGTGGCAGTGAAGGAATTAAGTTTAGAGTCCTTGAGGACACATGTGAGGGAAGGCCGGACTTGGTTGTTTTTGAGATAGAGTCTCTCTGTCACCCTGGGTAGAGTGCTATAGCATCATAGCTCACAGCAACCTCAAACTCCTGGACTCAAGTGATCCTCTGGCTTTAGCCTCCTGAGTAGGTGGGACTACAGGTGCTCACCACCATACCCAGATAGTTTTTCCATTTTTAGTAGAAATGAGGTCTTTCTCTTGCTTAGGCTTGGTCTTGAACTTCTGAGGTCAGGCAATCCCCCTTCACTCCCAGAGTGAAGACCAGACTTCTAAGGGAATGGAGCATGCACTGAATGTCCAAGGGGCTGAGTCTCGAGAGACAGCAAGTGTTCTAGGTACATGAGAAGTGGGGCTCCAGGCAGAGGGAACCGCAGGAGAGAGTGCACAGAGGTGTGAGAGAAACATGAATAAGTTTAAGGATTTGGGAATTAAAAGAGGTAACGTGATTGGGGGGGGCAGTTGGTACAGAATCCAGGAAGCATAGGGCTAAGGTAGAAACTGGAGGTGATGAAATAGTAGGAGTGAATGTGTCCTTGCTTCTAAAAGTAGCTGAATGGGAGGTTTGTGAGCTGTTTGTCAATGATGCTCAAGGAAGTAAGGACTTTTAGTGGAATGAGTTCAGCTGACATTTTTTTCCCCTCGATGACTTTCTTGATAAAGTAACAGCGTGTAGGTTCACATTCCTTATCTTCTAGTGGACTGGACATGCTCCACTGTTCATTCCTGCTTGGAGATGCATTGGTGTAGATGACTCAAGAAGTTGTTTTGGGCTGGGCACAGTGGCTCATGCCTGTAATCCCAGCACTCTGGGAAGTGAAGGTGGAAGGATCGATTGAGCTCAGGAGTTGAAGACTAGCCTGAGCAAGAGCAAGACCCTGACCCTACTAAAAATAGAAAAATTAGCTGGGCATTGCGGTGGGCACTTGTAGTCCCGGCTACTCAGGAGGCTTAGGAAGGAGGATTGCTTGAGCCCAAGAGTTTGAGGTTGCTATGAGCTATGAGCACTGTACCCAGTGTGACAGAGTGAGACTTGGTCTCAAAAAAAAAGTGTTTTGATTAAGATGCTGGGAAAATGACAAGTACCAACAAATAACCTCAGTAAAAGAAATACAGTGCCGGCACCTGGTGCAGCCAGGCCGAAGCTGAGAGCCTTTTGCTAAGAGCAAGTGTCCAGGCACAGAGGACCACATGCTGCATAATTCTGTTGAAATGAGATGTTCAGAGTTGGCAAATCCATAGGGACAGAAAGCGGATGAGTGGCAGCCAGGAGCTAAGGCCTTCAGGCACCAAAAGGTGATGGCTGAGAAGTGTATCATATCTTCCAGCAGAACACAACCTTCTGAATATATGAAAACCTGCTGAATTGTCCACAGCCCTGCACAGCAAAGCAGTAGGGAGCCTCCTAGCACAGGTCTGAGCAGATGTGGTAAGAGGCTGCTCCTGCCAACACACACCTTCTTTCCAGGAGTGTATCAGAGACCCCAACTCTTGTTTCAGCCAGATGCTGTGCTGAAGTACCCTAAGAACAAGACCCTGACATGTATCTCAAAGACTTGGTTTGACTCATTCCATCTGTCCAAGGAAGGTGATGCTGGTCCCCTGCAGCACCTGAGATCAGAGTACAAGGCCAGGATGTTCCAGGCCACCTTCCCGCTGAGCCCTGTGACCCTGGCCCTTGGAGGCACCTTTCGATGCTATGGCTCTCTAAGCACAGTCTCCTCTCTGTGGCCCAGTCCCAGTGACCCTCTGGTGCTGGAGGGCAGAGGTGAGGAGGCTGACCCTGTCCGCACTCTCCTTGGACCACTGACAGCCACTCAATGCCACGTGCTGACAAGAGGTTCTGGGAGTGAGAGGGGGATGCAGCCTCGTGTCCAGAGAGGGGAGACTATGTAGGAAAATCTAAACTGAGACAAACCCAAACGACAGAAAATGTAGCCTGCTGTGAGGGTACATACAACCCCCATTCCCAAAAGGTCCTTGTAGGATTCCCCGTGCCTTTTCTGGGTCCAAGATCCTCCTCTGTGTCCCCTGACCCCAGGATTTTAGGAAAAGATGCCCCTTTGCCTAGGTGGCACAGCTTTGTGTTTGGACTCACAGCTGGGTAGTGGGGTGAAAACTGTATCAGTCTATATTTCAGCCTTGGGCACTGGTTTCACAGTTCTCCTTGTGCTGAGGTCATTGTGTACAACTGTGTTTTGCTTCCTGTGTTTTGTTTTGGGGTCATCCTCTGCAAGGTAATAAAAAACCTTGGCCAGTGACCTTCAGTTGAGGGGCTGGGGCATAGGCAAGGTTGGGAGAGGGCTGGAGAGCTTTCATGTCATGGTTCTGGGCTGAGATGTGGCTGGCTCCCCTGTTAGCAACTTCTCTCTCTGTCTCTCCGTCTCTCCCTCCTCCAGGGCCTGTCCCTTTGCGTCCCACTGCAGAGAACATCCTCCAGCTGGGCCTGGGTGGTGTGTTTCTGTCGCTTCTGCTGGGACTGCTGGCGGAAGCCTGGCTGAGCAGGAAGGACATACCGAAGTCTGCCCGGAGACTACCCTTCTGATTCAGCCACCCTGAACTCTGGAAATCTGGATGGCCATCCCCAAGACTCCAGTAACTGGCTTTGAGAGCAGATCCAGGCCATGGGCTGTCCAAACTCTGTTTGGGGGTTCCTGATGGGGGCAGAGATGGAGGAACATTGCCCAGAGTTTGTAGAAGCTCCTGAAGAGGTCGGGTCATTCCTGTGACAAATTTCCCAGCCTTTTCCTCATTCACCAGGTCTTTTAGTACCTTGCAGGGGATGAGCCCAAAGCTGATACTAACAGAAATTTCCAAAAGTTGGGCTAGATGCTCTGCCAGACATTCCTGAGTAGGACTCACTTCACCAGGCAGAAGGGGCTCATTCATTGCTCAATTTCCAGACCAGCAACCTTCTTCCTTGACTGTAATGTGCTGTGTTCCAGCTTCCTTCTCTCAACAACTGCCCTGGTTGCAGAGATAAGCCCAGGAGAGAAGTCTAATGGTGGCCTGACCTTTCTGCGTATCTTGATAACTGAAGTCATGCACCAAGAGTGGCCGTTTTATCTTCCAGATCACTGTTTATGGCCTCTCCACGCTCTGCTCCTGCTCTCCTGACTTAACAGAGGTAAAGGCATAAAAACAAACAAGGGAATGTTTTACAAGTGTTCTCTTTAAAACTCCCACCCTTTTCAGGAATTAAAACCTGCATACCTTCCTGAGGCCAGTAATCAACGGGGCAGAGAAATATTCTTCACTGTTTATTTTCTAGCGTCTTAAACCACAAGAAATTGCTGAACAGAATTGTCCCAACAAACATCAGGAGATTGCCATCACTGGGGATAAAGGTTGACCCAAACCGACAATTATTGTCAAAACAATAGCCTGGGCTCGGCGCCTATAGCTCAACCGGCTAAGGCGCCAGCCACGTACACCTAAGGTGGCG